ACATGGTGCATGAAACATTCCCCGAAATAATAGGTATAGTTTTTCTGAATTTGTGGTGCACACTGGATAGATTTACCTTTTTTTTTCTTTTAATATAATAATTATAAAAAATGACATTTATTCTGCATTTGCATTTCAACCTATGTTTCACTTTTGCAGCTTCATCGGGGATTGTACAAAAATGCAGCAATGTGACAATGTATCTTAACTTAATAAATAGCTTTTGGTGTTCCGTTTCTCGAGATTGTCGTAACAGGTTTTTAACAATGCTCAGAATATTACTGTTGTTTCATAATTACTGTAAGATTATAGTATAGTTATGATGCTAACTGTACGAACATTTGATATAAATTACCCATATATAAAAAAAAAAAGTTCAAAAGTTTGTTTGCTTGTAATTAAGCACAAAGCTATACAATGGGCTATCTGTGCTCTGCCCACCACAGGTATCGAAACCCAGATTCTAGCATTATAAGTCTGCAAAAATACCACTGGAATAACTTAAATAACTCAACTTAAAGTTGAATAACTTAAAATAATAAAATTACAGGTCAGTACCTTGTTATCAAAACTGCAAATGTTCATTCTTTGTTTGTGAAGCTAACCCCCCATAGGAAGTGTTCTGCTGGAGATCCTGTATTATTCATATTTATAGAACATATTAATATGTTCACAGATGTGTGCATGCGTGACGATCTTTCTGTTTCTTCTACATACACTTCTCTACACACATATTGCACATGATTTAATAAACTACGTCTTTAGTGTGGGATTTTAATTCTTCTCCTTGTTCTTGGGTAAACAGATATTTCTTGTCACATTTTTTTTGTGTGTATGAGGAGTGAACTAATGGATCTTTTGGTGTTTTACCCGGTCTTTTTGTCGTGTTGATTGTCAGGTGGGTTGACTTTGTTGTCAAATAAGTATAGTTAGTATCTTGAAAAACAAACATACCCTTAATAATGGCTGGAGACGGCTTGAATGGGTAATGAAGAAAAACTTTAATATAAGTTTAACATTAACAGCAAATGTACAACGTTTTGTCATCATCAGGTACCAGCCATTATTAGTCTCAAAGTGGGTTCCTCGTCATCGAATTCAAAAACAAACCCTTCAATTTATAACTTGTAAAAATTAATAGTAAATAAAAAAAAGGGTTTATTTAATTTATGTTTTAAGGAAGGGGGAAAGAGGCTTTCAGTTTGTTTTTATAAGGTAAAATGTTGAGAATTAGCACGTTTGTTAAGTCGTAAGTTAATTCAAAATGACAACTATGTTCTGAACTGAACTCTATAAACCTTATATTCATGGTCAAGGCCTATCACTTTAATACAGTTTATTATATTACAATAAAGACAAATATATATACTCCTGCATGTGTCTTAAAAAAATATCGTATAGCTACCATGTTTTAAAAAAAAGTTAAGTAACTCTCCTAGCTCATAAATATTTCTTCAGTTACGTCCCATAGTTTGTAAAAGAGCTAGTCACCCAAGTGACTTTGCATTAAGTGTACTTGACAGGACAAGAGCATATGGGTAACATTCACAACTACCCCCTTTACCAAAACTATACTCCAAATCTTACCTACCCAGTCACAACATGGTTCTTCATTCACTTTAGCAGCAATACCTTGGAATATTTCTTTAATATGTGGCCTAAAAAAAACCAGATAAGAGTTAAAATGTGGTTTAAATAGAAACTTATTGTAAGCCTAAAATCAAGAAAATATTTAATAGTGTGCAACTCGAATACATACCAAAATCAACACCAACATAGAGCAAAGATATATATAGATGCTACCAAATCAAAGAAGAAAGTAAGTTTGAAAGAACACAAAAAAAAACAACAGTTCTACTACTTGTTAATTTGATTAGATTAAAATACTATAATGTCAACATGCTAACTTGACTAGAATATTCCAAGTTACACTTAACTCCACCCTCATTATTTTGTAATACACGATTTTTTTTGTTTTGAACTTTGGGAAAGCTACTGGAGAGCTATCTGCACCAGTCGGCCCTAATTTAGCAATGATAGACTAGAGGAAAGGCAGCTAGTCAAAACCACCAAACATTGGGCTACACTTTTACCAATCAACAGTGGGATTGAAAGAGCAAGTATGTTCAGTGATGGGGATTTGAACCCATTACCCACAGGCTGCAATACAAGTGCCATAACCACCAAGCCTTGCCAGGCTAAAATATATAATTTTATTACATATAATTAAGTTTATGTAAAATGGAGATTATGAAAAAAAAACATTTTATTTGACAGAAAAAAAATGAACTTTATTAAAATTTAATAGAAAATAAATATTTTGTACACACACACTTTTATTATACATTTGTATCTCTCCCTCTTTATAGGGACAACAAGCATGGTTTCCACACCTTGGGCAGAACGACTACCAACAAGTGGACTGCTTTATTAATGCATTAAAATTTGCAAGATTGAAACTTATTTAATGGAAATAGTTTATCTATAAATAGTAACTTGTTAAGGGCTTTTGAGCTGTAGTAAAACTATTCTCCACGACCTAGTTTGGGGAAGACAAAATGAAACCTTGTCCAGAGCACTTACACTCCGTTCAGGTAGGAACCTAGTTACTGTTTGCATACGTAATCTATTACGGCTGCCTTCAAACACCACGACAGTTAACGATAAACAAAAAAGTTAATGTAGAGAAAACATGTTTATGTATAAGCTATGCATACTTATGTGCTAAATGTACCAGAATTAACCTGTATGCAAATTATTTGACACTGATGATAATATATTTTTTCACCATCTCAGATTTAGAAGCTATTCTGAATCACATAAAATTTCATTGACTTTCCCAAGTTTTGGTCTGTAAAATGATATTCCCCAATGTTTCTCTATTTCCCTAACACACGGAAACCATGTACAAGAAACTTGTAAAACACTTAGGCAAGAGAAATGAGACATCAGCAATCAAATGTGACTAAGTGCTTTTGTTAGGCCTAAAAACTCTTTATTTGTCTGCAGTATGATAGTTATTTAGCTTAACAGTGTAATAAATACCACCCACCAGGCTTCTGGTGCTCCCCCTGGCATCAAAGATGGTCCATATCGAGCACCTTCTTCTCCTCCACTTACACCCGAGCCAACAAATAAAATTTCTTTCTCTTTAAGGGCAGCACACCTTCTTCTTGAGTCTGCATACTCAGAGTTACCACCATCAATAATAATATCTCCAGACTCCAAAAGTGGGACAAGTTTATCGATAAAATCATCCACAGCCTGACCAGCTGCAAGATAAATCTTATTTTAAATAAGTTTCTTTATATTTAATTTTAGCACCTATGACCCAGGTTTAGTCCTAATAAAATATTAACTGAGTCAAACTGCTTTTATTAATTCAAATACAAAAGTTTACATTCAAATTCATCTAAACTTCAACTTGCCAACATATGTTATATGTGTGTGGTATATATGCTTATCATATCTTTCCTTCTCACTTAGTTTATATGTATTATTTCAAAATGTCTGTATATTCTGAGTCTTTTGTGCTTAATACACAAAATCAAAGGGAACCACCAAGTTCCTCTCACAACAGTTACTAACAGAACTGGATCAGTCAACAATGGCATCACATGAGATTCCTATTAGAAAGGATTACTGCAGTAAGACATGCTATAAATATATAGCAACAGTGATCTTTTCTACTGGTAATTCACATGATGTCCCAAGCATATATTATCCCCCCCCCTTCTTTTTATAGTAAGAGTGGACAAATCCAATATACACAAAGATTAAGATGAATGATAGGAACATTGCTTTGATTAAAAATGCATCTATTAATTAATGTTAAGCTCACTACAGTAAAGGTGACACAGTACACTTTCCTTTCAAAGCCCCAATTGTGTTTGTAAAATGTTGAGAGAATAAAAAGACTGTTTCACTGTGGCACAATATTTTCAATATCCTTCTTTGATTCAGACTCAGTCGAATGCAATAAAAATCTGATTTTGTTCAACAACACATTATCTGGCAACCATCCAGTTATTCTGCAGCTCTTACCGGAATACTCAAATGTAAACTGGTGAATCTGAGAATGCTACATATTCAGAGTGAAAAGCTTGTACGTAGTTTGATCAGTATTGCATATCCCTAAAATACAATCTATTTAAGTTATATTGTATGAAGTTCATACAATTGCCTCGTGTTAATCACACCTAAAAGAGAATATTATGAAAAACTACATTTAATAATTGCAGTTTTTTTTTTTAATCACAATCATCATCACATACCTCTTAGGTTATGTTATGTTGTTTAAACATTAATGCAAACTTATTTTTTACAATAACGAATTTCACAAACAGAATTCTCTTAGCTTCCACGACTCTAATCGAAGCAAGCTACCTATATACGTCGTACGTGAAACTTCACTTGGAAATCTTTTACCTAATTTCTAGCTAGGAACAAAAAAGATGTGATAAAACAAAAACTTGTGTATTATAAGAAAGAAATAATCTTGAAGAAATTTCACTGTGAATGAGACCTTCAATAAAAATAGGAGGTTCCTCATTTTCAATCATATAAGATTGGTAATTTTCTGTGAACTACGCTGAAAAAGTAGTTTAATTTTGACTTTTAAGACCTAAGAAAAAAATATAATTGCATTAGCAAAATAATTATCTTTGACATACTTTTGTAATGAATTCTCTGTCTCATTTAGAAGAATATTTCCTCTACATGGAAAAAAGTGCTAAAAAATATAACTTTCCATCTTGATCATATTCATTTATGTTAATTTTGATCTCAGAACAAGGTTTTCGACAACTGATTTTATTGTACAATACATTCAATCTAACAAACAAATAACTGAAAACCTTTTATTCAGTCACTGTATTATAATTGGTAATTTGCAAAAATGTAAGATTAAGTTGAGAAGCTGCTAAACTAACTTCGAGCCAACTTTCTTAAAAAGTAGTTTATAGATATTAAAAGAAAACCATACCCTTGACAAGCATCATAACACGTCGTGGCTTCTTAAGTTTTGCAACCATTTCTTCAAGGGAATGTGCTCCGATTACTTTTGTTCCCTTGGCCTCATTCTTCAGAAACTTGTCTACCTTTTCTGTTGTGCGGTTGTAAGCACAGACCTACAAAAAAAAAAAAATTATAAAAGTCACTTAACATACAGAAACTCCCGATATCTTTTTCAAAGATCACAAAACTGACAAAAATATTCAAAATAAGAGAAATAGATGCATTAATATAACAAAGGAACTTTACTTGAAAGGAGGGGGGGCCTCCAAAATAATTATAAATATGCTTAAAACATAAATGTACATCACTTAGCATACAATTTAAAAATTTACATTGTGAGGTACTGAAATGGTTACATAGGGGGAAAAATCCCAACTTAAAACTGAAATTATAATTTCTTTTTAATCTGGGTTTAGCCATTTATTATCAGACTCAAATTTGCACAAAACAAAGATCCCAATGTTATATCTTAATGTACTATAGCATGAGGTATTCCAAGTTTACATTATAAAATTAGTAAAATCTATAACGTTTATTACTAGGTTACGTAATAATTTTTTTTAAAGATACAAGAGTTTAAAAATGGTAAGACACTACGACAGTCACTATTACTCTAATGTTTACATTTATGTGAAAAAAAATTCCATCACCATTTGTATGAATAAATTTAGTTAAGTTTGTTTTTTAATGCATATCTATGAAATTTTCATATTCAGTAATAACTCCATCTCATATTTTGAAACTATATTCCAAGGGTTAAGAATTCCTTTAATTTATACTGTGCTCGCAAGGTTCACATGAAGAGTTTAACAAGTCTTAGAAGACGTTTAGGATCTGTTTCCTGGCAATGCACTATTATCTTTGAAATTTCCTCCTGAAATATGACGTTGTCCAAAGTGCAGTAAACTTATCTTTGTTGACGTATTATAGTAAAAAGAAAAATCAAAACAACGTGGTAGAATTCTATATTACTTTTTAAACAGTAATGCATTAGCAAAGATTTGCACATACTCTTACACAAGATTGATTACCCATTGCCATTAGTATTTGTCATCATAAGATAGAGTAAACTACATTCAAAATTCCCAGAGTAGAGCTTTAAATACCGTTTAACTTGATGTAAATGTTTATAATACCCCCCAACAAAAAAATACACCACCAGCATCTAACCTACTGCTACTACTCTCCCCCTAAAACAAAAAAAAATTCCCTTCTGGCCTCTAATCTATTTCCAACAAAATCAAATTCTGAAATAACCCTTAAACAGATTTCACAAAAACCTAATTTAATACACCCCCCCCCCCCAAAGAAAAACAACAACCAATAATTACTGACACTCAAGCCTCATGTACGAAGTCCCATTACTTTACACTTACAAATCTTTTGTTCTAAATCTGGTAAGTAACAATTATATATTTGCATAAACATGTTAAAAAAGCACTCACCACAAATCCATGGTCATTCATATTAAGAATAAGGTTCTGCCCCATCACTGCCAGCCCTATAAGGGCAATGTCTGCCCTGGAAAATACAAGCAATATCTTAGTACTAATAAAATTTTACTACAACAACAAAGATCCACATGTGATATTTCAACAGAATAGAAATTTAGAAAAAAAATATATATATTGACAGCT